CTTCATAGCCCTCTGCTGGACTCACTCAGTATTTGCAGAATTAAAGGGACAAATTTATTTTATATATTTTACATATTTTATTTTAAAACTGCATAAGGTTACATAAATGAAATTTCTGCTGACTGGCTTCGAAACATCCATATATGTCACAACATTTAGTGGCAGCATATTGCTGATTGCTAATTCTCCTTGGCACATTTTTCTTTTCTGTGCCCTAAGCAAATACAGAATTAATGATGTGAAATGAAACAGAAACTAAGACTGCAGTAAAACAACTGAAGCACTTCCCTGAACCTAAAATTTGCCTGTGCAATGAAACTTAATAATTTTCCTGCTATGATTATTTTAATACAAATTCCTAGTGAATCTTTCTTTTGAGATAAAAGGAAGCTTGGACTATTAAATTATGCCACTAGATTCCTTAATGGAAGCAAACAAACCTAAGGGGAAAAAAAAAATTCAACATAAAAAACCAAAAAAGAACAAGTGATCAATGGTCCTACTCCAAGCATAAAACAGGTGAGAGCAAAATATGAGTATGCACGGTCATAGCAGCCTGAATTATTCCCATAGTGCATTGATAGTGTAGTAAAATGGTGGCTACTTACAGGGCTTGTTTCAGGCCGACTTACGGTCAGAACTGCATGACTTCGACTGATAGACTGATCATCCTGAATTAAAATTGAGCAGTTTTTACGTCCAACAATATATTCTGTACCACTTAAAAGCCGATATGGCTCTCCTGGAAATAAACAAGAGATAAAAAAATAACAATTTAGAAAAAAACATCAAAAAACCTGAAGCACATAGGAGAGCTACTGAGAAATTTGTAGTACATCTAAGTCCCAGCTTTGCCATGCATCATTTATACATTTATATTATATCATTTATGGTCAGAGCATGGTGCTAGTAATTCCAAGGTTGTGGGTTTTATCCCCATGTGTGCCATTCACTTAAGAACTGGACTCAATGATCCTTGTGGGTCCCTTCCAACCCAGAATATTCTGTGACTCTGAATTCTATGATTCTGATTAGGCTGATTAAAATTATGCCTTTAGCTTACAGACAAAACCTCTTTACTTCTTTCTTGCTCCCTTTTGTCTGTAAAAGGATACATTTTACCATAAACAAAGCAGTTTCAAAAGTGGTGACACACTTTTTTCAAGGACAATATAATTTTACCAATACTTTCTTGAAGATTAAGTGCAACATTTAGAAGAAAATAAAAACAAACAACACAATGTAAGAGGTTTTCTAAAACACCTTTGTAAGGGCACTTAATTTTTTTGAGGTTCTATTATTTATTCACTTAACTGATTAAGAGGTTCAGACGAAAATGTCCTCCTAATGAATGTAAGGAGATCTTCATGTAAATCAAACTGATAGTAAGTTCAGCCTCTGACCAATGTTTATGTTTTAGCTTATGCTTTGAACTCGTCACTTGGACCCCATGGTGGCTTCCCAGTGAATGGCTTGACTGTCTCCCAAAGGTGTGCTACCATTGGTCAACAGAACAAAAAATGTTTCTTGATAAATAATAAGTACAGATAAATAGTCATTATCAAGCCTGGCAAATAACTTTTCAAATATGAACTGTGCAGAAAGGATCGTTCTGAATAGAACGAACAGTGTTTTGATTCATTCAAGAGTTCTCCAGGCAGTAAGAGGTAAATCAGTTCATTTCAACGGGATTAGGTGCTGTATCTACCAGGAAATAAATCAAACATCCAAAATTTCCTCCCAGTGCGCCAGGGACTAGAGAACAGATGCAGTTGTGTTACATCTGTTCCTCATAAGCACTTAGGAAGAAATGCATGTATTATGTGACACCTATTACTAAAGCTCCTATGGACAAGAAAACGAAGAAAAGTATAGAGACGATTTAGTTTCAAATCTCTGCATGCAAGAACCACCATGTAGTTCAACACTTAGTCCTTGAAACATCAACACAATATTTAAGGATGGTTTCTGAGGTTGCTGCCTCCGAATCCAACTATCCAGGTATTTCAAAGCAGGACTCTGTAACCCGCAGCACCCTATGACATCCCACACAGGTTCAGAAAGAAGCCCTACTAGATTTAACAGGCGCTCTGGTCGGCAGTGCTCCTGAGAAATACGGAGGCTTCACCGCGGAAGAACGGCGAGAGCGACGAGGCCTTGGATCACTATGGGCCCGAGGCAGCCCGGACACCAAGCCCGGCCGGAGCCAGCCCTATGGAAGCCAACACAACGGCAGGCCCGGGGACCCGCGCAGGCACCGCTCGGGGCGGGGAGGGGACCCGCGGTGCCTGGGCCCAGCCCGCCGGAGCGGCGGCGCCGTGTGCCGCTCCCTCACCTTTTCCCGAGGCGGGCACCAGCTTCCACATCCCGGAGCTCTGCCCGGCAGCCCCCGGCGAGCCGGGGCGAGGCCGGGCCGGGGAGAGAAAATCCCGGGACCCGCCGCCGCCGCGGAACCGCGCGCAGGGCCGGGCTAAGGGAGGGACGCGGCCGAGGGCGCCGCCTACCGGCCTCGCGCAACCTCGGCAGCGCTGGCCCGGCGCGCGTGCGCGGAGGGCGGGGCCGGGCGGGGAGCGAGGCGGAGCCGGGGCGGGACCGGGGCGGAGCCGAGGGAGGCGTTCCCGTGTGACAGCCGGTCCGCTCCGTCCCGTGTCAGCGTGCATCGGAGCTAGCCTCTCCGGCCCCGGGGGCAGCTTCTCACAGGAACCACCTCTGTGCCCCCCCCGCTAGCAAAAACCAGGCCTTGCAAAACCAATACATTCAGTCATATCATCTTGTTCGTAGAAATACAATGATTATATCACAGGTAGCTGTTTGGCACATTTGTTTTTTCCAATGCATAGTTTGTAGTTTGTTTCCTCTTGTTGGCATTGTTCTGGTGAAGCTTCCTAAATTCTGTAGTATTTGGCGATTTAAAAGCTTCTCTTGAACTATATACATTCTGTTTCTCCAACTTTTTTTTTTGTGGTTTGTTTCTTGGAGTTGTTATTGTTTTGTTTTTCTGTTCAGATACTGCAGATACCTTGAGACTCAGTGTGGTTGAATGAACTGATTGTAATGGAATGTTACTATGTCAGTTTTAGAGCAACTCTAACTCTTAATAGATATATTCCACATGCTGCTTTAATTCTAAATGTGGCAATTACTGCCCAGCAGTGTGGAACTATTGCTTCAATGCCTGCCAGACAGCATGCAGAACTCATGAAGATGCTACCTACTCTAGAGCTTACTAAGCCACAGAGCATCAACTATTTTTTTTTTTCCTAAATGCTGAACATTTAGGGAAAATTGCTGTTTCGCCATCTTTGTACAGTGCAATGAGGAATAAGCCTTAGGATCTAAATTCTGCTTCCTCTGAACTCCCACAGAGGTGTGTAATCAGTTCACACGGAATTCTTAATTCAAAAGCTGAGAGTACAGATCCACTGATGGATTTGTTGTCTTTCATGCCAAGTTTTGTAACTGCATAGATCATCAAGTGAGGTGTCCTCCCCTCAAAACCTGAAGCTTCATTAAATCTGTAGGTTCTTACAGCTACTATGCTACTCCCCCAACCCCTTACCCTTCCTTATGAGTAGATACAATTCTGCAGGTTTCTTTGTCTGATTACCAGGGCTGTAGAAATGGGTGGGTATCAGTCAGTCCTTACTTTTTCCATCAGCCAGTCTCTGTGTTCAACACAGATAAATCAAGTGTCTTGTTATTGCAACATAATCTCCTGTAGCTGAACGATGTTCACAGACTGCTTAGCTGTTTCTGAACTCTATTAACAGCACTGAATTGGAAATGAGAACTCTTGATCTTTCTGGTAAACCTTGTTTCACAGCAGTCAGCCAGTGTTGATGTGTGCAGAGAACAGAGCCTCTTTCTGCTGCCCAGGAGTGATCTTTGAATGCACAATTTCACCTCAAATCAGGCCCTGTGTTACCCACTCCATTTGAATTTCTAGCTAGCAGACAGCTAATATTCGCAGCCACCTCTTTTCTCATATTTCTTTAACAAAACAACTCCTCTTTCCTCAAAACACATGCCAACAACAGGCCACCATACTATGGGTAAAGGGCACAGCAATTCTTGGGTTTAGATACCCCAAGGAAAGCAAACAAACAAAAACACCAAAACCCCCAACAAACAAGCTAGTTATTTAGCATCCTTTAAATAGCATTTAGAAAATCACTTGCAATACTAAAATTCCAACCCAGTGAAGTGGATAGACTGAACCAAGCATTCTCCAGCTCTCACAGCTGGAACTGGAGGCATCAGGGTGGTAGTGGCTGAGAAGATGCCCCTGTATTGTTCCAAAATAGATTATTTCACCTGGTGTGCAAGAGGCCAATCCACATTTGATTTAAAATGCAGAAAGGGGTGCTGGGTGACAAATCCGCAACGCTGGTAACAAGGACTACCAAAACTTTTCACTATTTAAACATTTTAGCAAACAAAGGCATTCATATTAATTGGCTACTAGTTACCTAGTTCTCTTATTAATTAGTATTCTATCTTCTGTTGGTTAATGATCCTCTTGCTTTTCAAGCTGTTTAGTCCATATGCTCAGTATTTCTCTTCTTTTGGGTCAGTGGGCAATCTCCCCCATCAGAAATACCTTTGACCCAGTCAGAGCTGACTTGAGCAAAGTTGCTGAGTTGCTTTGTTTTCTTTTTTCCTTACCTTGGGGATTCTGCCAAATGCCCTTGTATCCCATAAAACTGCATTCTTTGTGTCCACTGTCAATGATACATCCTTCTTCACAAGTTTTGTTAATCACCCTCTAGGTCAGATCATGGAAACATGTCAAGCCCTAAGCCTTAACAAGACAATTTCACCGACCTGGACATCGCTTAGACCTTGTTTGCTCCTTTCTTCTTGATTAGGCTTGAAAGCATACAACGATCAAACATCAAAGAACGTCCTTCCCTATTCTGTGTTTTGCAGCACCTGGGGCAGGGGCAGTCTCGCCGCTTCCCCGCTGCCCGCCGCCGCTGCTCCTCCCCCGCGGAGCAGGCGCAGTTCGCGGCGGCGGAAGATGGCGGCGCGGCTGTGGCGGTGTGGGGTGCGCGGCCCCTGGCTGTCGGGTGCCGGCCGGGTAAGGCGCTCCCTGTGCTGCCCGGGGTGAGGGCAGACGGACGGAGCCGCGGAGCTGTTCCGCCACCTCCTGCCCCGCCACCCCGGCTCTGCCCGGGCGCCGTTGTCCCGTCAGAGGGAGGGCACGGCGGGGCTCTGCGGTTCCGGCTGCCGGCGCTGAGGAAACAGCCGGGAAGGGGGCACCCCTCGGTTCGCCCCAGCTTCCAGCCCTGTCCGCCGCCGAGCCCCCGCAGGGGTGCGGGCTGAGCTCCCCGGCATGCGGCCTCGTGCCCCACCGCCCGGCGCTGCCGTGTCTCCCAGTTGAGTGCTGTCGCCCTTTGGCCCCGATAGCACAGCTGTGCACGGCCATTTAGGTAAAAGGCTGGAATGCTGCTGTCCAAGCAGCGGCCCGGCTTGACTTGTGACCGAATTGACCTTATGGAAGCCTTCTAGTACCTAAAGGGAGCCTACGAGAACTCTGGAGGGGAAGTTTTTGCAATGGCATTTAGTGACAGGACAAGGGGCAATGGATTCAGGTTCAAAGAGGGTGCCTTAGGTACGGACATTTTGCCCAGAAAAAGCTGTGGGTGCCCCATCTGTGGAGGTGTTCAGGACCACTTTGGATGGATCTCTGGGCAACCTGTTACAGTTGAAGGTGTCTCTGCCCATGGCAGAGGGGTTGGAACAAGATGGTCTTTAAGGTATTTTCCAATCCAAACCATTCCATGATTCTTTTGTGTGGATGATGCTGGAGGCCATTTCTAGTGAGTTCTCCGTGAGTACGGTGCTTTTTGCCAGTGACTACTCATGTGTTTCTGAGATGGCTTTCTGCAGTAATTTCACAGTTTACTTCCAGCCCCTGGGTGAGGGTTGTTTTTTGGTACGTCAGTGATTTGTGTGTATGTTGTCTGACGTTTGTTTTTTTTTTTAAGCTGTTTACTGGCTTATTTATATTTCTGTTTACACCTGAGATTTAATTTAAAACCTCATGCTTAAGTAGTGGAATGATTAAATTGCATGGATGCTGTCATAGAAGACTTTTGTGCAAGCCAGTATGGAGATGATAGCAACCTGACTAAAAGATTGCTCAATTATACCAACTTTACTGTCAGGTTATCATTACCATACTTTATTAGTCTTGGTGCAGCCTTCTGCTCTCCTGTTCTGTGGCATGTCTTAATCTTCCCCCCTCAAGCAGAAGGAAAGCTGCTTGCAGTGTTTCTTTTGTGGAGAGCAAGACTGGGCTGTGTCTGTCACTAACAGAGCACCTAATCAGAGAGTCTCAGTGTTCATAGGGTTTATCTCCATATCCTGAAGGAAGGGGGAGTCCAAATACCATCAAATCAGAGATTTGCAGTCTCTGCTGTGAGCTGAAATTCTCCAGAGGGAACTTTTTTCCTGAAGAGAGATGAGTAGGGGACTACTAAGCAAGTCCCAAAAGAGAACCTTCACGTTTCCCTCTCCTAGAGGCTTAATAGTACTCTGGTACTCTGTGAAATTTTATTTTCGCTGGGAGAATTTTAAACAGTAGCGTTTTACAAATGTGATAGTTCTAGCTTTAGTTCAAGCTTTGCTTTCTGAATTTTGTCCTGTGCGGTGGCTCCAACTCTTCAACTCTTCAACTCAATTTTAGTTTTTCACAGAATGCAGGAAGGGACCCACAAGGATCAAGTCCAGCACCTAAGTGAATGTCCCATACAGGGATTGAGCTCATGACCCTGGTGTTATTAGCACCATGCTTTCAGTTGCATTAAATTGTCTGTGTAATTCCATGATTGTTCTATTTTCACGAATTACTTGTGCATATGTATTACCACACAAAAAGATTCACGTGCTCACTTTTGCAGGCCAACATCAAGCTCTGTGAAACCCCCAATGGATTCTAACTGGGATTAGAATTCCCACATTCCTGTATTCTACTGTGTGAAGTACAAAGTAATAATCTACCACTAAATATATTCTCTTAATTTTAGTATTCAAAATGTGAATTTGTAAACAGAACAATAAGTTGTAATATTTTTACTATTTTAAAATTACCTTTCTTCTTTTTCTTGTCAGTCTATTGAAAAATTGCATGGTTTTATTAACAGGATCATATAAGAGTAACCATGTAGTCTTCTTTCACAAAATTGTACTGTGTTTTTTTTATATTAAAACAAACACATTAAAGGTTCAACTACAAGGTAAAACCAAAGAAAATAAGTACAACTTACATTCTTCTAATTGTTTTGCACATCAAAAGTAAAGTAAATCTAGTTTTGTCATACTTGGAAGCATTTGCAGCTTCAGATTAAGGTAACTTTTGTATGTTAAATAATAAGGGTATTTCTGAATTATTACTGTAATGCTGCTGTCCTAAAGCATTTAATTCAATACTTAGATTAGGGCTCGAGTTAGTTTAGCATATTATGACGCTAGAAATATCTTGTTAGCTATTTTGCTGCAACTTTCTTGGTAACATCACAAACTTCTCATTACATTAGTGCGGTATTTTCTTACTGGCATTGTTTTGTAGATGTAATACTGAATTTTCTTCTTTTTTCATGTCTGTTTTTAAACCTGTTCCAACCATGTGTCTTTTTGCAGGGACCAATCCTTCCAAGGCTAATTTACTGTAGATGGTATTTCTGATGGGACATAGTGTGATGCTGAAAACCTAACCCTGCCCAGTTTTGTCTGAGAGATGGCATTAGTTTCCTTAGCAGCTCCAGTGGCCATTAGGGCAGGTCTTGTGAAGTTTGATTTTGTCCTGTTCTGCAGTAAAGAAGAAGGTTTGGTTGGATGCGGTAGTAAAAGATCAAAATCAGGAATCTATTACTGAAGATTTTAAAATTTTAAATACATACATATGTAACCTAAAATCACATAAATTTGTTTCTGCATAAATTACAGTGCATCTATCAATCTGAAAAGTGTCAGATACAAAAAATGCATGAAGTAGGAAGAAGCATGACTAAAGTATTTTTTCAATAGTTCTCTAGTTGCAGTAGAATATATAAAAATATATAAAGGATATATAAAAATAGCTCAAGTGCTTTCCTAGCATTTAAGTAAAGGCCCATGTATGTTGCTGTAATGCAATTTAGTAATTCTTATATTCATATATATTTACTTATAATGAGGGAGTTATGACTATTACCTCCACTGCCATAGGAAAGGCTGATCTTGCATAACAGTCCTGCATCCAGAAAGGAGAAAAAAACTAACTTTTCTATTTTTTTTTTTCTTTCAGTTTTTCAGCCGTGGGCCAAATGTACTGCATCAAGACAGCAGTGCACCACAAGCTGCATTCTTCTCACCTCTTCAAAAAGTGATGTTGCCACCAAACAGTTTCCAAGGGAAAGTGGCCTTTATAACTGGTGGAGGTACTGGGCTTGGAAAAGGGATGACAACAGTTTTGTCCAGTTTAGGTGCCAAGTGTGTTATAGCAAGCCGGTAAATATTAATGAAGATGTTTTAGAACTTTAATTTAGTACTGACTGCTGAATAGATGTTTTCTTCTTTACCAGAAAACCAGAAAAAATATTTTATTTATTCTTTTGCTATACACTTTTAAATTACAATGTCATATTGTGGATTCTAGAAACTTGCAGATTTATCTGCAAATGTTTAATAGTATAAAAGTCAGTAGGGAGAAATAAGCTAAGCACATTTTCATAAAATGTGGCAGCAAAAGAAACAACCTCAAATATTAAGCATAAATTCAACTAAAACCTTAAAGACAAGAAAAATTTGCAGTGGGCAATGCTGAACAGTAATAATTGTTATTACTGGTGTTCTTGATACAGATTTAAATTACAGTAAAGAATTAGATTCATTCCTCATCTGACTTTCAACAAGAGCCCTGATTTTCCTTTAATGATGATTTTCTACAGCTCTTAAGTACTGCAGTAGAGTCCAGAAGCACTTCAATGAAGTCTAGGAAAACAATCTCATTTTAAATCAAAATAAACAGAAGTGTTGTGACATTCATCCTAACAGTAATTTTTTTAGTTTTAAATGTGAATATGTAAGACTCTTATTAATACTAGTAGAGTAGTAGCTAAAACTAAGTTTGTTATTATCATGTGCTTTTTTTTCTAGCTTATCACATGTTGTTCAGCTTTAGAGTCTCTCACCATTGTCACTTCTGAGTTGCTTTAAAGTGTCACTAACCATAACTGACTTAAAGTTTTCTTTCAAAAAGTTAGTTGTTAAGCATAGTTTCAATCATAGTTTTAATTAATGAAAATCTGCAACATGCATGTGCACGCATATTTTAAGTTGTAGTTCATATTTGCTCAGAAAAAAAGATTTTAGTAATTTGAATTGTAATTTCATTTAACTGACAAAGGGATGTTAATACTTATTTCTAGGAAGCTGGATGTTTTGAAAGGAACAGCAGATGAAATTTCTTCTAAAACAGGGAATAAGGTAAATTTTTGCAGGATTATGAATATGTTATATATTATACTCTAGATTTTATTGGATTTTTTTTCCTGCATTTGTATGCTTCTGTGGACTTGTTTAATTTATGAATGTTATATTTTAAGGTCTTACAGCTGCCTTTCTATTATTCTTTAGGTTCATGCCGTCCAGTGTGATGTGAGAGATCCACCTTCGGTTAAGAATGCTGTTGCTGAAACAATCCAAGTGGCAGGACATCCTGATGTAAGTCTTTCAGGGAAAGGAGAGAATTCATTCTTCGTTACTGAAAATACTTTGCATAGTAGGTATGAAGAAGGTTACTAAAATAGAAAGTTAATGGACTCTAAAAAGACACTAGACAGAACAGCAGCAATACTTCAAGATACTGCTAACATTCATAGTTAGGCCAGTTACTCTGTTCCTGAGGTTCTTAAAATATTTAGTGGCCAAGTAGACAAAACATTTTTACCCTTACTCTGAGGACTAACATCTTGTTTCATATAATGTGACAACTCTGGAGAGATTCTTTGAATTAAGGAAATAGAATATTGCCTTTAAATCCTTCTGAAAAGGTGATTTACCTGTGTTTACTGAATACAATGCGTCAAAAATTAGGAGTGGAAGTAACCATAAATGTCTCCTTTGGTCCTTGCTTAGCTTACTAATGTACACAAAGAAGGTTTAGATTTGAAGATTAAATTCTCATAAAATGAAGGAAAAAAGTCTTCAATCAAGCCAAGCATCTGTTTTTTAATAGTTTGGCACAAAGCAACAGAGCTCTTTACATCAGATTGTGAGGAGGGTAATCTGGTTGAGTCTGCAGGATGATAATCACCAAATTCTGATTTGATTGTGACATAACAACTTGGATTCTCCTAGCTGGTAGAAAGTGTGATGATGTAGCATCATTGGAAGGGACAGTCATATCTAAAACTGTTTACTGTAAATTTAAAACTGTTGTATGTGTGTTGTAGACAATTTACACTCACAAGGAGCTTCCTATAGATGTGGTAGAGAACCTGCTGAATTTTAAATGTATGCTATAACAGTGGTAGAAACAAAGCAACTCACTGTCCTGAATTGTAGACAAGATTCATTGGATATTATTTTGACTATTAGTTAACACAGTTTTTGGCCGAAGTCAAAATCATGATTGGTTTTACATGCGTGCGGAGAGGCAGGAGACTTCTTGCTGTATAGTGCATTTTTAGAGCACCAATAATTTTCTGAATAAATGTTTCCCATGACTTGTTCTTTATAAACATTTACCTTCTCTTTAATTCCATATATTTTGTATGTTTAAGATAGACCACGGAGTAATTTGAATATTCAGTTCTTTTTGTCTAGTTTTTCTCTTAGTTGCAACATGAGATGTTGTTTTATGAATCCTGGGTACCTCACTCACTCACTCACCAAAGTTAATGGCAGTAACTTGAAAGTCCTTCCAGCTTTGTTGTTTTCATTCCATTCCCAAGAGTGTTACTCCTAATTAGAAAGCAGTCATTCTTTTATCATGGCTTATTTTGGCAGACCTACATACCTAAAAGATCAATTGTACAATTCTTATTCCAATAATTTTATTGTGTCTTTCCTGAATTTATTTAGTGATTCAAGTAACCTCCTCAGTATCTCAAGGTGTTTGGATTTTTTTTCCTTCAAATTTCAGGGAGGCCTTTAAATTTAATTTGCTGTCCATACGTGTGATTTATGGCTTTTGTATATTATTAGTTTTACATTCATGTAATATCTCTGTTTCATTATTGAAAATTTTAGTATCTGCATTAGAATTTAGCCCAGAAGTTCTTCAGGTCAAAGAGTTTGTCTTACGTGCAAACCTCTATGAATCAAAGTGCCATTCCATTAGCAGTACATTGTTTTATTGCTTCAGCATATTACGTTATTAAATATGCTAGATCTGGCTACATAATTTTTGGCTTAAATACTGCTAATGTGATGCTTAGTCCCCTGAAGTGAAAGTATCCTCTACCTGATGACTGTTCATAGGAAGTGATGGATGTACATCTATTCAACAAAAGTTTTGTAGCAGTTGTTTGAAGTACACTGTATCATGATATTCTTATCAGGATGATTTGAATTCCTGTTATGCAACAGTCACTTCATCCAGACTTTAGTTATCAGGTTGCCGCCTTTTGCTTCTATTCCCATGCATCTATTATATTAAATAGACAGGATGGTGGAATTTGGTGGGAGGCAAACTTTTCTGTTAGGATGTACTTGAGACACTATGGAAAATAGTGACATAAGTTAGTCTCTACATTTTACAGTTCCTGGGTACAGGAGTTTGGAAATGCAGCTCATTTTCAGTTACTGATACTTTTATCTATGCTGCAGATGTTAAAATTTCTTATGGGTTATTCTCCTTCTTTCCCTGCCTCCTGTACCTTGATATTCGATTCGGATATTTTTCCTTTTGTCCCTGGAAAGGCTAAAAAGCTCCTTGTAATTTCTTTACTTTTGTCTCAGTGAGAGTTATTTTTATTTAACTCTTTTCCTTCATGTGTTTCAGGTTGTGATAAACAACGCAGCTGGAAACTTTATTTCCCCTTCTGAACGACTTTCTGCTAATGCCTGGAAAACAATAACTGATATTGTACTTAATGGTACTGCTTTTGTAACTCTGGAAATTGGAAAGGAGCTTATTAAAGTACAGAAAGGTATCTTAAGCATTGTGACATATTACTTGCTTTCCTTGCCTTACTATTATTATAGACAGTTTTGAGAGTTCATGTGAGAAGAGAAATGCAATTTTTGACATTGTTCTAGAAAGGAACTTCTTCAGTGAAAGCTATTCTTAAGTATCACACAGTAGATCTGGCGAACAATTGCTTCATTGTAGAATCAGGTCTTACCGTTGGACCCAGAGGCCAACTAAGGCCGAACATAAAAATCTAATTGCAGAGTTCTAGTTGTAAAACATTTTTTAAATTAAAAAAACAAAGCTTTGTGTTGAAAAAAAAAACAAACTGTTATTTCTTCTGAATTTTCTGTATGTTAATTTCATTGAACTGAGCATGGGCTATTTCGTTAAATGAACAAGAAGTCAGGATATCCCTTTGAATTTTCCTCATACAGTAAAATAAAATTTACAGCTGTACTCTTTGACTAATAGTACTAGAGAATATTACCTTTAAGATAATTTGAAAAAGAATTTTGAAACGTAAATCTGTATTAGATTTTATTTTCCCAGGTTTAATTCTTAATTCTGGACTACCTAGGAGCTTAATTCAATATCACAGCTTCACCTTAAAAATATTACAGTTCTTTTTTAGCCAAAGATTTATTTAACCAGATTATTGTCTTAATAGGAAAGGTGATGTGTGCTCTTCTATGTTATATCATAGATTATTTACAACGAACTGCTTTTATTTTGCATTCCAGTTACAAATTAAAAAACAATGAGTTTATTTTATAAGATCAGAATAATGTCAAATTAATTTAAAAGCAGTGAGGTATAATTATGGTTTTCCATGTGCCCTCACTTCTGAATCCTGTTTTCTAGGTAGATCTACTGTGTTGAAATGCTACTTTTGTATTTACACTGTATTTATTTAACCTCTGAATTAGCTGAATTTCTTCAAATTCCTCTCCAAAAAGTACTACATGAGTTTATACTATTTATTTGTAACAGTATGAAAATAATGTTGTTTGAGGGTCTGTAACAGTTTTTGTTAGTATACAAGGATATCCCCCTCTATATTTTAGCAGCACATGAAAGATTAACTTCCACCATTCTAGTGCTGATATTCCCACATGAGAAGCCCATCCCCAGCTATGACTTGCTGTATCCTTATGTCAGACCGTTGGAATAGGTTGCTTTATGGTCTTCCAGGTGCATGTTGTGTGCCCACATAGTAATGTGAAATATGAATTCAAACATGCTTTTGTTTTTGCTGCTGTTGAATGAAAATCTTCTTTCCTTACTTCCATCCTCAAATTTGGTAAAATTCGGATGTCATTCACCTTCATGTTGTCTCTCTTTCACTTCTAAGCTTCCGAAAAGTGAATTTCTTTTGCTATTATTTGCATGTCTTCTTTCTAGGGGAGTCCTTCTGTAAATTAAAACTTTTTGTTTAAGGCTTTCTTTAAGACATGTTTTTGCATGACCAGTAAGTCATGTGTTCCTGTTTGTCATCTACCTTCATTTTCTTTTTACTTGCTTGTTTTTTTTTTTTTAGTTTGAGCAGAGACCTTAGTTTCTAAAGCAATGCTACCTAGTGCAAATACTTTAGGTCAGTCTGTGAGGATACTACAAATCTGACAGTTTCTAGAAGACTGGGATGTCCTCAAGGTTGGCAGTGTGACCTACATTAAGTCTAATGTAGTAAATAATAAAAGTTCTCTGCTTTTAGACTGCAAGTTTGTGCGGGTATTTAAAAGGAAACTGTAATCTGTTAGCGTGTTACTTATTTTTACAAAATGAGAGGAGTTAATTGATCAGTTATTGTCCATTTTATGAATATAGGCTTTAGAACTAAAGGTTGTGTATGAGCTGAAGTGTTCTTTATATATCAGAGCTGTAAATTTATCAGTTTCTGTGTTAGGTTGACCTAACCTGTCTCTATTTAACCTCAATTAAAAAAAAAATCAGTGGTTTAATTCTACAAACTGTGTAATAAACAATGATCTCTACATTACTTCAGAGTTGTTCTATGATTTTTTGCCTGTGTAGGTTTGTCCTTTCAAAGTCACTCAGTGAAGACTCCTTTTTAAAAACAGGGCCCATGGTTTCTGGCTATCTGTTGGCATTTTAATTAGTGCTTGTTTATGGTTCTCCTTAGTTTCTCTTGTGTAATAATACTGTAATTTTTTACCTGAGTCTCTACTTACATGCAATCTATCAGTAGTGTATATTGTTTTAGAAATATTCCCTGGGCAGCTGTTGTAATGAAATTATTTTTAAAATATAGTAAGTAGAACAGTTATTTTAGTTACTGTGACGAAGGCAGTGAACTGTCATCCCTCGTCCTTCATTTACCAGCTACAGTAAGCTCATGCCTGTCATTGATCAGACATAATTTGCAGGATTCTATAAAAGAAAGATTAAATAAGCAGTTGCAGTTTCCATTATATTCCAGAATGTTTTTTGCTAAATCTGTTACAAAATATAGCATATAAAAGAAAGTGGTTCTTTTATAATGGAGTTTGTTGTGATAGCAATGGGAAGAGTTAGGCAGGTTCACTCTGTAATTGTCTCTGCTTCAGAAAAAGCTTCTGAAAAATTCTTACAAACCTTCATTTTTCTGAAAACTTTAACTCAAGCCCTCAACTGTTAATTTGAGATTATACCAAATCTAACTGTTGATGCTGATTTTTTCCTTGTTTTTTTTTTGTGTTTTCTTGGGTTTTTTCCCCACTGAGTAATTGATGAATTCAGGGCAAAATGTCTGGTTAGTGATAACTAGACTAGGGCAGCTTCTGAAAAAACACTAAGGTCTTAGGCCTTCACTCCAGTAAGAATAATTTATACATTAAGTTCATTATCAGTAGGACTCTGAGGGCTTAGACCTTCAGACCCTTATCAATGGCACTTACCTGGAACAACTCTTAACGCTCATGCAAAAGAGGGAACTGAAATAAAAAGGCTTGAAAAGAAAGTTTCAAATACTGTATTTTTAAAATTCCTTTTCACTGCGCAGTGAAAAGGTATACCTAACACTTGACTTGAAAACTTCTGTACCATTTAGCTTGCTTTTACCTGGGCTTGAGAGTTTGATCTTCAGGGTAGTTTGGTTTGTGTGGTGTGGGTTGTTCTTTAAATGTTTGTGCACCTTTCTAGGAGCAGCATTCCTGGCTATTACAACAATTTATGCAGAGAGTGGTTCAGGATTTGTGTTGCCGAGTGCCTCTGCCAAAGCTGGTGTAGAAGCAATGAGCAAGTGAGTAATACAGCAAAATGGGTGCTTTGGTTTCCACATCCTTAGGATGGGGTAATTGGTGTATAAAAATGGAGCTTGTTAGTGTAGTCCCCCTATTTCACTGTACCACAAGAGTTCAATCCAGGCTCCAGTATCCTAGCAAGAGTGCTGAAGTATGCTGACAGCTTCTGACAGAGGGAAGTATTAACTGCTACTGTTTTTTTCACAAAACCAAGATAAGGACAAGTACTTATTTTGGCAATTGCAAGTTCCAGAGTTTGTTTCAGGGAGTTTTGATAATCAGGTTCTCTTGCATTCTCATAGGTGAACCAGCACCTGAAGATAACTATTAGGGGAACTGTAGCACCTTCCACATTCTTTTGTCTGAGGAAAATGCATGCCTGTTATTTGGGTGCAGCATACTGTGGCTTCAGCTCTGTTCAGATTCATCAACAAATTTGTTTCCTGTCATATTTAAAATTAAGGTCTGCAGTTTTGCTTAGATCACAACAGTATCATGTTGATGTATCCATGGTGCTCAGTGAACAGAAGGATTTATCTAATTTTTAATTTCAGGCTGGTCCTTCATAGCACATAGATCTTCCTCTATGCTTCAGCAGAAAGAATTGAATAGATTGGCAGTCTTTTAGTAACTAGAATTCTTTATCTGGAAAAAATGAGGGACTGAGTAATGGTCTTGATTTGTGTTCTACAGAGCTGTAGCGGAAATGTGTACTTTTCAGAGACTTTATGACTCAGCTAATTCATTCACCATAGTAGATCCAAAGTACTCATCATGCAGAGAAAATGTCATAAAGCAAAACCATTCTAGTGGTCCTGTTTTAGAAGATATCCTCTGTTTTGTGTTATTTCAAAACATATAATATGAGAGCTATGTTGCAAATGTGAGAAATGTATACTTGTGGGATGGTCTAAATTGCCACAGAAAGATGATGGCCTAACAGTTGTTAAGGAATTCAGGTGCCAACACCATCCTTGGTTTGCAGGGGAGAAAGAACCGCTCCTTCAGGCTGCTTTACCTGTGATTCCTCTATTCAATCAATAGTCTTTTGTTGGTGAATGAGATTTTTTCTGCTTCTCTGAAATTTTCTTAAGCACAAAAACCCCTTTAAGTAGAAATTGTCTGTTTTAGGAATGTTCTAGTATTTGCACATTTGATTAAATTTTTATTTATTTTTTTCTGAATAGGATTACAATATTGTGTTTAAAATATTGATGCATTCTGTTAATGAATTTTTAGGTCTCTTGCGGCTGAATGGGGTAGATATGGCATGAGATTCAATGTGATTCAACCAGGTCCAATAAAAACAAAGGTACATGGCATGAAGTGAAACACAGCCTTGAATATGCTTTGTAGTACAGACTTAACAACAGTCTAACCTTTCTGTAGCTGTAATGTCTAATATGATTTCCTTTATAGTCAAGACTGTGCTGGAATACTGAATACACTTCCCTCTTTGTCTTTTTGTAAAATAGGATTTCTTGGACTGAGAAAGTTCAGGAGAACTTTTGAGAACTTCCACTTTCCCCTCTACTACACTTGATAAAAACAGAACTTTTTTTTTAGTGTTTCAAAGAATTGTTATATCAAAGTACTTAATGCTGATTCTTATTTCTGCGTAGTTAGTTGGTCGAGTGGAGTGAATTCTCACGCTTGTTGGAATAAATTTCCTGTTTCTGCCTGAATCCCTAATTTTTAAACAAAACATGTGATCAGTTCCAAAATTTTAGAATCTCTTTTAGGTATATGAGAACAGAATCTCACTAGTTTTGTTGAAAATCTCAAAATTAGAAAAACTAAGTTGGCAAGGAAATGAGAAGCTTTGAAGTGAGTGAGAAGGAGAACTGGAGGGTTTGAAGGAAGTAATCCAAAGCAGCTGGAATGGGAAGAATAAAGAAAGCAGTCCTGCAAGAAGAGAAAGGAGGATCCATTTCCCATTGAATCAAATTATTATGATTATGAGCACTAACAACTAATAATGGTATTACTTCTTCCTGTAAAATATTTCACAGTTGGTTTTGCTGTTGTTTTGGGAATAGGGGTGCAGAGCTGGTTCTTTTTTACTTTTTTGTTGGTTTATTTACTATTCTTTCCTTTTTCCCTCTTGTTAGTTTTAGATGCTGCACTGGAAAACTTAGTTTTGACTCTTTTCACTAGAAAGAAAAATAAGTGGCAGAATTAGCAGGATTATAAGAATGTTGAAATACCATTAGAGGATTAGACCAAAAGTTCTCCAGACCTTGTATCTTGTGTATTTTTAAGTGAGAGTAGAAGAAAAATATTTGGCAATTTAAGGGATTTAAATGTCTACAGTGCTACCTCCATATAATGTTCCTTTTTTGAACTAATAGTGTATAATCTGCTTGAGATAATGTTTGTTCTTAATAAAATGCTACATTTGCTGTATGGTTCCAACTTGAAATTTCCCTGTAAGCATAAAAAGGCAGATAGCATATTGCAAAATCAAGGGTTTCTGCCTTAGGAGTAATATCCATGCTTTAAAACATACTGTTTTAAGTCATGATGGGAAAAGAACAATGTATACAAGCACAACACTGTGTTAGGCTTATAAACTGGCAGTTAGAAATATGGCAATAGAAGACTTAAATGTCCTGCTTACAGCCATGATCACGTGAATTACAATGTGCGTTAAATCATAACTCCAGTAATTTAACATAAATGTTTCTGATACATTTCTGATTTTGTGTGAGGAGGCTATTTCCTTGTGGAGGAGCAGGGAAGAAAAAAACCCTTTTATTTCCCATGCCATTTTAAGCTATTCAAGTACTAAAGCTTCTGGTGACTTCCTTTAGCTTTAGCAGGTGTTAAAATTTAACTGAACTTGATGTTCTTTTTATTTTCCATTTTATTTACTCTGTCATGTATAATTTATTTTTAGTCACTTTCCTGTTCCTCTTGCCTTGTTCCTCTCCTCTGTCCATATTTTGAGTCTTGGTTATTTACTTAAATGTTTATCAAGGGTGTTTGAGGAAGAAAAGATGATTAAAGCCTTTTGTTTTTCACTGCTAGATGGTGGGTGACTATCCCAAATGTTTTAAATTCCAACTTATCATCAGTAGATGTGTATCAGTGCAACAATGATACATTACTTCTTCTTTTCTGCTTCCTCCTTTTTTGTGCTACTGACAATGAGGGTGTAGACAGCTTAATTACAAATACTAACTTCCATATTTTATATGTGGAGTCAAATCTTTTGATGTAGTTATAACTTTTTTTTTAATGTTTATTTTAATTCTCAGGGTGCTTTTAGCCGTCTTGACCCAACAGGAGCATTTGAGAAGAAGATTATTCAGAGAATTCCCTGTGGTCGACTGGGAACTGTAGAAGAAATTGCAAATCTTGCTGCCTATTTATGCAGTGACTATGCAAGCTGGGTTAATGGAGCAGTGAGTTTTGGTTGATCTTGTTTACACAATTAACCTGATGTTGGTGTGAATATTGCTGATATTTTTTTAAAGCCCTGGTTTCAGAAATGAAACAAAACATCTTACTTTAAAGTTCTTTACAATTATTATCCATCTTTTAAGTGTAGTGCATGGTTCTTAGCACCTTTAAGCAGAACTTTTTAAAGCGATAATACTGCATTATTTTGAGTATGGGCTTTTTTCACCCAAATCAGTAAAATTTATTTTCATAGTTCATAACAAGGGAATGCTACAGAAATTGCACAATTAGTAAATACACTGTGCTTTCTCTAGGTTATCAGAATGGATGGTGGAGAATATGTTTCTATGGCAGGAGAATTCAATGACTTGAAGATGGTACTAATTTCCTTGTTTGCTATTTTACTTTCAGACACTTTGATGTGTAATTATTATATGAAATTCCAATAAAATTTTCTTTTCTTTTGTTAGGTTACCAAAGAGCAGTGGGATATGATGGAAGCAATGATTAGAAAAACAAAAGGCTCCTAAAGTGCATAACTTAATGGTGGAGATTCTTGGAAATGAACCACTACTTTTTCATTAATATTTAAAAATAACCAATTGAGAAATAGCTTTCAAAATCTTTTTTTATGCTAATTTCAATAAAATATTTTAAAATTGTTGTATTTTGAATACAGTTTGTATATTTTTCCAATCTAAAATCTATTCTGTTGCAATAGTGAACAACATTTGGTCACTGAAATTTTGTTGTTCTTTAGGTTGTCTTACATAGCCATGCCGTGGTCTACAATCAGCCTTTTTTTTAATCTTTCTGAGGACTTTTTTTTCCTCAGATATATGCAAGTGTCTCTTAATATTGTAATACCAATAACATTTCAGTGCTATCATAACTGAATGTAATCATTAATCTGAAGAGAGAAACAAAATATTAAGTCCTAATCTTCACACTTCAATAAGAAGTTCTAAACTTGAAAATACAGTTTTATGTTATTAGCAGGACTACATACACTGAGAAAATATGTAACTCCTGTAGTTACTTTGGAAATCTTGAAATGCATAACCATCTTGGTCTTATCTTTTGTGACATTTTCAGTCTGTTAATTATCTTATTCTGAACTTTAAAATGGCATTTACAGACCTGCAGTGCCTTTCTAAGGAGCTTGCTCTTTGTCATGATGAAATTAATGTTCTTGAAAATGAGAAACTGAAAATCATTTGTTATTACATATGTGTGACAATGGGAGCTCTCCATAAAAAGTGGTTTATTTAACACTGTTAAAGGGATATTGGTAAATTAGGACTGAAAGTATTGAAACCTCATCTGTTAAGATTTACAAGAACTCCCTAGGTTTCATTTGCATGCACAGGCTGGTACTAAAGAAACTTTAGATGGCATTACATCTGAATCTAATCAGTTTATCCATCCCAAATAAACAGGTGATTAAAAAATTGCTTTCCCTCTTTTATCCAGATTTAGAGAATTGGTAGTTTTTGTCCCTCATGCTTCAGACAATGGCTGGAATTCCTCAAAGAAATCAGCAGCGTCTGGCCTTTACAGCCTGAAAGCAGTGCCTGTTTTTGGTTGTTTTTTTTTTTTGTGTTTAACCAGAGCTCCAGCCTGGTTAAACATCAATAAAAGCCACATGCAAGCATGTACATAGTTTTATGTGCTTTGAGACTGATACAGTGATTTAAGAGTCAGGGAAATAGAATCAAGTTAAGGATGTCTTCCTTCAGGTGCTGGTGGCAGTCATGTATTTTTCTATATAATCCATGACATTCTTAACATATGTCAACATCTGACTTTAAAGTCACTTGATTGCCTTATTGTAAATAAGCAAGCTAAGATGTGTTCTGCTGAAAGTATGGACTGTATTAGTGCAGGCTTCCATGTGCCTTTCTCCTGTGAGTGATGGTCCTGTGTGGGATTGAATAGCCACTGATAGTAAAACAAATCAACTGTGTGTATCATAGCAGCCTTCAGGTGTTCTTGAGCATCATGTAAAGCTTATTTATGGGAACTTGGGTTTGGTAGGTGTGTTGTCAAGATCAAATTCTGACATGACAGCCATGTCTTTTCCCCAAAAAGTGGTTTAATTGAGAAGTTAGGACCATATATACTGTTTTTTGCTTGTCATCCTTTGCATATGATTATATTGTCTCCTTGTCTGGGACACAGTTGCATATAAGAATTTTACATTTGAAAAAACTGTTTCAGAAAATTCAAATGTATGTTTCTGTGATGTGGTAATATCAAGTATTTCTCTGGAGTGTCTAGTAGGTTATCCTTTGGTGACAGGCTGTCAATAAAAGTAAGTTCCTATCAGTCTCTTGCATCTGTGGGTTTCTGTGACTTACTATAGCTAAGTGTGTCATGTGATTAAAGTACTGGACTGATTCTGGACATAACCATGCTCAATCTCTGAAATTGCCATAGACTTCGTGTGACCTTAAGTCATTTCTGTAGCCTGTGAACAGCAAGACAGGTGTGCTTTGCTGTGTTCCCTCAGAGCTGGTCATCTGATGCAAGAATACTGGCAAGTTCCTTTTAGCTCACAAAACATAGGTCCTGTGTGGGGCACAGGTGGAAAACATCAAGAAAAGAGGCGTATTCAAAGTCAACATGAAGCTGGAATCCAGTTAATGCTTGGCTAGGAAACACTTCTGCCTGTCGTATAGCTCTCTTCCCAGTGTATAAAATAATAGTAACATAGAATAGCAGATTTTGCTCCATCTGATATGGTAAAAATATTGAAGGGAGGCCTCTTAAAGCCTGTCTTGTAAAGAGATACTGGGAATTTATTTACTATCAGAATGTTTGTCATTTGCAGAAATGGGTACTGCTTCTGAGGTACCATCTTTTACCTGTTTACTGTTCATAGCTAAATGAATTATTAATTGTAAAGTGAAAAAAAAACTATTTTTAAAGCGATGGAACTATTTTTAAAGGATGGAAGATTTAATGAGTATCTATAGTAAGAATAGGATTTATCTTGCCTATGCCAGTGACACCCATCTCAAACTACAGAATTAATTGCTTTTAAATGCTGAGCATTTTGTCTTGACAAGATGTATAATGTACAATATGTTGATGTAGCTTTTAGAAATGGCATATAATGTTTTAAAAGTTACATGTTTCTTTACTTACAAAATATTTGCTAATATATAGACTTAGTTAAGTGAAAAAACAACTGATCTTGTCATCCACTGCTGCAGGAGAATGGAATAGTCTGACTGGGACACGTTTCCTTCAGTAAGAGCTGTTGGATTTGGTAGGGACAAGAAAAGAACGTTACTATGAAGACATGAATCCTAAACATCTCAAGTTTGTTTTGCCTAAATACAATGTAATTGTTACTGAAATAGCAACACATGATACCTGAACTAAGGAGAAGGATAAGAGAAAGAAGCTTTATAGCTACTACCTAACCCAGGCAATGTCTGATTTGGAGACTCCAAAAGAAGCTGTTCCTAAATGCTGATGAGGATTAGACTGTCCAGAAAAAAGCATAAAATATTGCTAAAATCCAAGAGGTGTCCAATCCATAAGCACATCCATAATCCACATCTTTGTATTACTCACAGGCTGACATAAAGCACAGTCATCACAGCTACTTTATTCCAAATACAGCTGAACTGGCAGGAGAGTTAGTGTCTGTGCTGTCCTAGGCTGGCATATTCACCCCGAGGTTATTACATTTCTCACCCTATCTGAGATTGCCAGTGAGGCCCCGTGTAAAGGGAAGGATGAAAAAAAGTATTGCTTTGTGGTATAATTATTATATGAAGTTGGAGGGACAGGAGAGTGAAGGAATGAGTCAGAAAAGGTTATGGCATACACTGGAGATTGTAACAGGAGTCAGTAGGGTTGCAGAGGCACTTTAATTTTCATGAATCACAACGATGCTTCCCTGAAATCCAAATACCTTTTTAAAAATTTTGCATGATCCATCAGTGAAAGATGTTAGCACTTCCATGAACTCAACTTGAGACACCCACAAAGGGGATTAATTGTCTGTTTTCAGCTGAAAAGTATGTCTTGTCTCCTTAATTAAATCTTGAAATTACCCTTTTTATTTCTGCTGGTGATTTACTGTCTTTGAAGCTTTTGCAATTTATTAGATTAATTCGGTGCTTCAGAAGTGGTATTCTGCTATAGTAGGGGCTTATCAGCAAGTTATGAAAATCATTTAAGATTGCAAATGAGAGAAATCTGTTGTATTACCTCTTCACTATGATACCAGAACTGCTGTCAGTCTTTAGTTCTCCTAGTTCTGGGAACTCTTCACCTCTTGAATATTTTAATTACTGTTGAGAATATTGCTTGTATTTTTTATAAGTTGAGAATTTGCTTTACAAACAGGAGATGATACTATTTGAGGGAACTGTGAGTTCCTAGCTGTCCATACTGGCTTCCAACTTCACGGGCATGTGAACTGCTCATTTATATTTATCTTTTTTCCCATACTGATAACATGTAACTAAAGACACTGAATTGCAAGAAAGTTTGTACCATTGTCTAACTCCATGGAGCATCTTGTGTTGTAAACTGCTAAATAAGTAATGCCACTTGAACAAAAGTAACCCCACAGTCTTTTATGTGATCATTTAATATAATACAATAAAATAAAATAGTCTTTGGGATTTGAGTGCACTGACCTGCTTTTAGTTGCTGTATAACAACTGTAGTTGATTTCAGAGGGAATTGGAGGTGCTCAACACTTCAGAAAATTAGGCCATGTATATTCAGGTGCCCAAGTATGCATTTGGTATCTTCCCAAATACACAGCAAGTAAGAGTGGATTTCAGTTGCTCTCCATAGCCAGTGATTAACTTCATAACCATGATTATGATGAGGGCTTAGTAAAAATCAGAAAAAGCAAATCTCATGTAGAGCAACAAAGCCTTGAGGTTGAAAGGGAGTTTAGCAGCAGTGTGTATGTATTTTTTTCATTGAAAGGTTCATTTTGCATAAAAGTGTCAGCACTCTGCATTTGTAATTTTCCCATGGAATACAGTGTTTAGAAATTTCATCAGCTTGGGTGGATAATCCTTTCAAAGGTAGATAACTTAAGTTCTAAAAAGGGAGGATTAGATCAGTGCTATGATACTGTGCATGAACTGTCAGTAGAACAGTTCAGCAGTGAATGAAAGAAAGCCAAAGTACTTGTTTCAAGGGCTGTGTTCAATCCTGTGTTAATCCTGATTAAGTTGTTGGTGAAAACTCACATGATATTCTCTGTAATGGTTAGCTGGGCAGTGCTGTGGGCCCAGGTGGAAGCAGGCACTCACTCTGCCTGACCTGGTACTGTTAAGGTTTACTTCTGTCAGCAAACACTGCATTTATAATGCCAAGGGTTTACGAAGGGCCTCATAGGTACTATTGTTTTTATTCTTTCAGTTTGCTGGTTTGTGCTTTAAAATTTCTAGATCACCTTCTTTGATTTGAATACCTAGTGCCATGTTAAGTTTTAATCTGTACACATTTAAACTAGAATGGGCTAAAATATTTTACAGCATACTTATAATTTGTAGGAGAGTGGATTTTGGTATTTGTTAGCATGAGTGCTTCTTTGCATGTTTATTTTAATAAATCGTGTATTTATAGGCAGCAAAATGGTTAAAGCTTCAGTAAAGGGGATCCCAAGTAGCTCTGTCTCAGTTTGTGTGTTTAACTGGAATATGGCATACCTGCACCATATCACAGAATTAATCTCTGTGCATGCTACGATTTTACTTTTCTTTGGTCACCAGATGTTTACCAGAAGAAATCTTCCCTATCATCACCTCTCTTATTATTATGCCTTTCTCTGCCTCAACCCTGACATTTAAAAATCAGTCTGCCCAGGAGTGATTTAGAGTTTAAAACCTAGAGGTTTCACAGCAGTATTGACTTAGCCATTCTTGTCATAATTTGCTTTGCGTTGAGAGCAGGCACCTTTGCTACAACTGGGGTTTTAAACTGCTGTCTTTGAATCCAAGTTTCATTTAAGAGAAATAACTGCAGGAAACATCCCGCCTGTGAGTGACTGAGACCTGCTTTCTGTGTTGTGCCCTGCAGGAGAGCCAGCTGGTGGGCAGCAGCAGTAGCACAAGGGTGGCTTCAGAACAGATGTGTGACAGCTACCTTTATTTATGTTCAGGAAGACAGATTTCACTTTCTGTGGTAACTCTGTCAAAACACTATAAAAGCTTTATCTCTTACTGTAATAATATAGCAAACATATTTTTACACACAAGGTTTGGGTTTTTTTCTTTACACTTTTAAAATGTTAAAATAAGGCAAAATCCAGGGTTTCAAGTGCACAATATGAACAATATCAATCATTTATTGTACTGATAGGCAGATTCACTGTTCCTTCACTTAATGTACACAATTGTATTTCACATTGCATAGAGAAAAGAGGAGACAAGCAGGTAAGATGTTAAATCACTGTGCATGGAGTGGGAATAAAACAGTGAGAATGAACTGGCTTAACCTTATTTTAGTTTTGTGTGTTTTTTTTTCCCAGCAAGACCTCATCCAGCACCACCTACCCCTTAACTTTCCGAGGCTCAGCCTGGAGAGAGCCCAAGGCCATTAGGCCATTCCTGAAATGGTATTTATTTGCTTGAGTTCACCTGAGG